GACTTGTTTTATTGACAGATTGTGATAATAATGTGGCTGCGAGTCTCTGTTCTCCATCACGTCCTGATCGACGTTCAGGACAAACGACTTCCCTTTCAGTCCATGTTCTTCTAGAACAGATGAATCCACCACATTGGTCTCCGTACATCATCTTCTCTGAGCAGTTTCACTCTTCACATAACAATCCGCGTCGTGTCCTCTTTGCTTCTGTTCTGCAGACTGTTGCACGATGCAGGCAGACGACGTGATCCTAACGGTTCCCATCATTTCAGTTCCCTCGTTGTGCTGGAAGCTGCACGTTTGTTTCATCTGTTTTAAGATTCGATGTCGGCGTGCAGCTTGTGTTCGTACCACATGATGTAACTTGTTCCGTTTTGGATTTGAAGAGCCTTCAGGCTGAGGTTGAAGTTTGAGATGAGTGATTCGAGGTGTAAACCAGCTGCTTCCTGGTCTTTAGGAACAAGGTGCAGCTTCTTCAGGTTGATTGTTCCTGAGGTCAGCCGTCACTTCACACACGAAGCTCATCCAGTTGATCTGCAGAGACGAGTGAAAGTGGTTTGAACTACTGCGTTTGTGTTTTATGTCGACTTTATTATTGCACTGGAATCAAGAAGCAAATTGTGATGTTTTTTTTTGTTTTATTTAATTACCACATTTGTGCTGTATTAACTCGTACTCTGTTTAAACCAGTGTTTCCCCAAAGATGTCTGATATTTATATTTAAATTCGGTCGTACGAACTCTGGGCGTTAACACCTTGATGGTGTTAATAATGTTTATTTTAGTCATAAATTTAGTTAATCTTCTTACCAGTTTAACTGAAAGACATCTCCTTGTGCAAACAACTTATTAATCTAACCAGGTTGAGTCAGGTCCTCTGGACGGGTTCTTTTTTTGTTGAAACGTTTCATCCTTTATCCGAAGGACTTCTTCAGTCTGCGGAGCTGCAACAAACTCGGCACCTTCTCATGGTGGATCAACCAGTTTGTTGTTGACATCCAGAAATTGTTAATCACGATTAAGAGGAGGATCATCAGCCTAACGACTGATAGTTAGTGCCCTGATGGCCGCTTGCTATTCACAGATTTCTATTTGTAACGGCTGCACGACAGAGAAGTTCCTGGGTTCAATCCTGTTTGGACCCGGGGTCTTTCTGAATGGAGTTTGCATGTTCTCCTCGTGTTTGTGTGCGTTTTCTTCAGCTTCTCTAGTTTCCTCCCACAGAACAAAGACATGCATGTTGGTTTTCCTTCAGGCCTCCCTTACAAGAGATCTGCGATTTGTCTGGTTAAATAAAGGTTAAATTAAAAATGGGGCTGAGTGGCGCTTGTAAAAACGGCATTTTAAGAGGGGGACAGTTGAACACGGAGGCCTCCGCCCCGTTTAACGATGGACGGTTTCACCACATCGAGAGGAGCCAGCTGATCTGGTAAGGATGCTTCCTGGGCACCTTCCTAGGGAGGTAACGGAGGAGACCCAGGACACGCTGGAGAGACATCTCATTTGTCCTGGGAACACGTTGAAGTCCTCCCAGAAGAGCTGGAAGAGGAGGCTGTGGAAAGAGATGTCTGGACCTCCCTGCTCAAGATGCTGCCCCCGAGACCCGAGTCCAGAACGAGATGAAGGAAGGATGGATGGATTCTCTTCTTCACAAAGATGGCTTCCTTTAGTCAAACCAGCGTTCCTCTCCATCAAGGATGTGCACATCTTCATGTCTGGCCTAAGTCCTGGCCTGATGTTCTGTTAAACCTCTTCCAGTTTCTATTCATCGTAAGAACATCCTGTCTTTTGTTTTGAACAGTCCAGCTGCAGTCAAATGCTTCAAGCTGATTATTACTCATAAAAAAAGATGCTCTTTACTTGACTCTTGCTGGATTTGCTTTAAAATGAACTCGAAGCTGGAGGTCTAGTTATCAAGAACACTAACTATAAATGACATTTTCACTTGAACAGCTCATCTGCCTTTGTGACAAAACTACGGAAGAGGATTAGGGTTGGTACAAAAGAACCTGTTTATTTGGTAACAACTGGTTTTAGATAATTCTCAAAGAAAGAATTTTAATAGAAATTTTTCAAGTCAACATGAAGTCAATGGGGAAACTGGAACAAACGGTTCAGACTAAATTAATTGCTTAAAATCAACCACTTTGTCTACACAACTGGGACCAGTTATATTCTCATTAGATGGATTAAAACAATACGTAGTGTTTAAACTGCACTTCATTTGAAAGAAAAGCATAAAAAATACAAAACTGTCCTTTAGTTGACCATAAAACAAAAGAAAATGTCTCTGAGGCATCAGTTCATGAAACAAAAAGCTGGAGCATGTAGACATACCCAGGAGTGCTGGGCTTTAAAAAGCACAAAGTGTTGCAGATGTTAAGGTTTGAACTTGAGGGCGAACTCCTCCAGCGCCGCCAGCAGCTTCTCCTCCTCCTGTGGCGTGGAGCGGGACAAGGCGAGGGGCAGGTGGGTCGCAACCGGTGTGCGATCTGAAAGACGCCAAACCATAAACACCTTCAGGAAGCAGATTACAGAAACCACGGCAAACTTTTCCTTTGCATCAGATGTTTGCAGTTTATCACCAGGACTAAAACGGTGAACTGCATCAATATCCAAACATCACAACCACCAGAACAGGAAGAACATCATCAAAGGAACGTGTATTTGCGCTCACCATGCACCATAATTCTCAGTTCTTTTACTGTTATATTAAAATGATCCTTTATGTAATCAGTCTTCACGTGATTGGTCAGTAAAGGGACAGCAAGAGATAATTCTATTATCCTCAAGGTGTTTTAATTTGAGCCAGATCCTGCTGGATCCAGGAACTTGCTTATTTTGACAGGGTGCATTCTGGTAACCGTTTGCTTGGATTCAGTCATTCTCAGGTTTGCTAATAATAAAGTTATGAACAAATATGACTGCCTTGAACAAATAAAACCTATTTTGGACATGTAATCTGAAAATAATTACAAAAACACTGATTTTAAACAACAGCCACTTATGAGCTTCCTAATATCACATCAGAGCTGCCCCTTCAAGTAAACATTTCCACTTCTAACCTTAAAAAAATCTCTGCCCCTAAAATTAGTCATGGGCGATTTAATTAAAAACACACAAAATATAATTAAACAGAACAAAAATATAATTAAACAGCACAACTAAATCAGTTTTACAGTTTTAAGTGAGTCATTTTACAAAATTTTGACTATTAAAAATATGAGAGAAATGTCTGATGGGTAATTGTGTTTTGTAGCTACATCATGTATCAAAACAATGGTGCCAATTTGTCAAAATAACAGCAATCAAAAATGTTGAAGAGACAGTCCAATTTACTTTCATTAAAAAAAGTTCTCATTGTACAGCAAAAAAAGAATTGAAGCACATGCAGGCAGTTGCAATGGCTATGGAGCGTGCTCTATTCACACAAGGAGAGCTGTTGGTCAGGCTACTTCTTGGTGCTCTCTAAAATAGTTATTGAATCAAGTGTTTACAAATGTAGGTAAATTTAGATGTTTAACAACCATTAAAATACACTAGAATGCAAGAAATGCATCTATTTTATTCAAAAATTTCTATAAATAAAGGTTAGTCTCATTTGAGACTAACCTTTATAAATAGCTTGTATAAATAAAGTTTAAATAAAAAGATAAAAAAGTTATTAATTCCTGTTTTTACCAATTTCATTTTAAGCCATAAAAAAATCTTTCCCTAACTAGAATTAACAGGACATCTTGTGTTCCTCTGCTGTAATGCATTATTGTAAACGGTCCCTGTGCACGCCTGAGGTTTCTCCAGGTTCTCTGGTTTCCTCCCACAGACCAGAAATATACACGTTAGTTCGAATTGTCCCCAAGTGAGAGAGTGATTGGTCGTTTGTCTCCATGTGTCCCTATGGACTGGAGACACGTCCAGGATGTCCCCCACCTCTTGCACAGTGATGTAGACACTAGCTCCACGTGACCCAGACAAAAATGGATATGTGTGTAACACGGTGCACACCTTGTACCGCCCTCTGTGACCACAGTCTAAAGTTGTGGAAACACAAGTTCACTCATTTGTTTCTGACCCTGGAAGAAGAGTCCGCTCGGATGTTTAATGGCAGCGGCGGACGCAGCGAGCCACACCACGGTGTCGGCCCCCATGGCCTCCGTCCTCAGCCTGGACTGCATCTTAGCGTGGAACGAAGGCATGGACGACTGCACCGCTGCAGGAAGGAAAACAACTCGTTACATTTTACCAGAAAACAACATTTTCTGCCACAAATCGATTCTTATTCTTTACAAAGAATAAAAAGATGTTGTATCTTTAATGATATGAAGCAGCACGATGATGTCGCCCATCGCCGATGGATTTGAACAGCGAATGTTTCTAATTTTGGAGATGAGTGTTTTTCTGAACAGGATTAAAACCTGGCAACCCAATTTGAGATAAGGAACTTTCTTACACCCAGATGCAGCCACATACCCAGATGGAAGTCAACACATTGCTTATTTTTCCAAGTTGACCAACTCACAAGGTTTACAAATATCATTTATGGTGGCAGCCATCTTAGATTTTGACCTGGCAACCCAATTTTCAGATGGAGACCTTTCTTTTGCCTTAGATGTGGCCACACACCAAAATGGAAGTTGCTTATTTGTCAAATTTTCCAGCTCACAACCTGTACAGACGGATGGATTATAAATAAATGAAAACGCTGTGAGGGTTTTGTTCGTTCACCTGGAGTGTCGGCCCAGCCGGGGTGCATGGAGGAGAAGTGGATCTCTTTGTGCTGAGAGGCCCATCTCTCTGTGAGGACCACCTGTTGTCTCTAAAGAAACACCAGCACAGGTTTGTCACGTCACAGGATTAACAGTCGACGTCAAAGTGCAGCTGTGGACTTTACTTTATTCTGAGCGTACGCCGTGGTGCCGTCAAACGTCCCCTTCTCAAACTGCAGGTCGTCCACGTTGAGCTTCTGAGTGAGCATGCCGCCCGACGACACGGTGATCTGAGGCATGAAGAAAACAGTTTGAAACTTTTTACCGTTTCACTGACTTGATTTTATTTTGTTGAAACTAAACCCACCACTCTCGGGTCTTCAGCCTTCTTCAGAGCAGGAATCAGAGCCGTCGTTAGGATGTACGTACCTGAAAGTAAAGTTAGTTGTTTTATATACCATATGAAAGTTGGCACATTGTTCATTTTTGAAGTTATCCAGGTTTTCAAATATACAAATATGGCAGAAGCCATCTTGGATTTTGACATGGAAACCTGATTTTTGATAATTATCTCTCTTATGTCTACTCTAGATACAACCACACCAAAATGGAAGTCGGCACATTGATATTTATTCAAGTTATCCAGCTCACAAGAGGGATGGACATGTTTGGTGGCAGCCATCTTGGATTTTGACGTGGCAACCCGATTTGTTGATCGGCTATTTTGAATTCCCTCTCTTTGCTCCACAACAGGCGACAAAAATACTGAAGTGTTCTTAAATAAATAAAATCACAGAAGTTTAAGAAGCTTAGGAATGAGATCATCAGAGGTCCAGCACAGGTTGAAGAACTGGGAGATAAAGTTAGAGAGGACACACTGAGATGGTTTGGACATGTCCAGAGGAGGGACAGTGGGTATATTGGTAGAAGGATGTTAGAAATGCAGCTGCCAGGAAAAAGACAAAGAGGAGATGTATGGATGCAGTTGGAGAGGACATGGAGGGAGATGGAGCAAAGACAAAGATGGAGGAGGATGACTCGCTGTGGAGACACCTGAAGAGGGAAAAGGTGAAAAAAGAATAACAACAACAAGAACAACAAAAAGAAGAAAAACAACAAAAAGAACAAGAACATCAAGAACAACAAAAAACAATAACATCAAAAAGAAGAACAAGAACAACAAAGAACAACGAGAAGAACAACAAAAAAACAAGAAGAAGAACAACAACAAAACGAACACAAGAACAACAAGAAGAACAACAAAAAGAACAAGAACATCAAGAACAACAAAAAACAATAACATCAAAAAGAAGAACAAGAACAACAACAAAAACAACAACAACAAAAAGAACAAGAACAGCAAAAAGAACAAGAACAAGAACAACAAAACGAACACAAGAACAACAAGAACAACAACAAAAAGAACAAGAACAAGAAGATGAACAACAAAAAGAACAAGAACAAGAAGATGAACAACAAAAAGAACAAGAAGTTGAAGTCTATGCTGTTATAGATTTCAAAGAGAACTCTGAAGTGGCTAAAACTGGAATCAGCAGGTTTTCATTTCTTAAATTTTTTTTTTTTTAAATAAATTTAGAAAAATGGTGCGTCTGCGGCTGTAATCAATGCTTTTCTAATCATTTCCTTCACATTAAACTAAATGTTCTAATATTTTGTGGAACACCTGGAACGTGTGTAAACACTTGACTCTTTAAACTGCAAACGATTTATTAGCATTCACACGTTGTGTCTAAAAGTGAGGTAATCTGAATTGTACAGAACTGTTTTTTCTCGTACCGAGCGTATTTGTGGCGAAGTTCTTCTCCAAGCCCTCCTCCGTGAGCTCTCTCTGGTTGACCATGCAGCCTGCATTGTTGATCTGTGACGCAGAACAAACGAGGTGAAACTCCTGCGGTGAAGAACTCCGTCGTCTCTGCAGACACCTACCAGCACGTGCACCACGTTGTTCTGAGAGAAGCTCTGCGCAAACTCCCACACTTGTCTCGCACTCGACATGTCGACGATGTGGACGTGAACGTTCTGGGAACAGAAGAGACGGTTTTAATGTAGACGTCTGCATTTCCACCTTTTCTTACAGGGATCTGATAAGTCGTGATGTTTTACACGATGGGTTCTCTGCTGTAAGAGGAGAGGAATTTTGTTTACAAGATAAACAAACAAACAAGTCCTTATCAGGAAGTGGACGTGCGGACAACTGTATTTCAGCATTTAGTCCGAGAGAGAAAAGTTCACCCTGGTTTAATTCTGGGCTTTAACGCATCACATCTTAGTCAAAACGATCCGATCTTTACCAGGTTCTAAAGTGGAAAAGTCAAAAACTGAGTCCTCCCTCGCTGCTTCCACAGGATTTAAGCCAGGCACCGCTAAATAAACGCACGTGATTAACTCAGTGTGACCATCTCTTTAAAATCAGTTTTGTTGCTCTCTAGCATAAAGGGCTGCGTTACCTCAATGCCAAAACGGAAAGACATCAGCAATGAGCTTACAGAAGCAACTACTGTTGCCTGTAGATCTCACAACTGGAATAAGGCAGTTTTCAAACAAAACGGAGTCCATTACTCTACAGACAGAAACAATGTTCACAAGTGAAAATACTTTAGATAGCTGCCACTCATCCCAGATGTGGACATTCCAACAAATTCACCCCAAGGTCAGACCATGCAACGCTCAGAGAACAAGCAAAACAAAAACTAGTTTCCATCTCTAAAGGCCTCAGGTAGCAGGTTAAATACTAAACTCATGGCAGGACTATTTACCCATAATGCACAGCATCGTGTCTGGTAAACACAAAACAGTACATCAAGAATCCAGCTGTCAGCACGGCGGTGGAAGGGTGATAATGTGGGCTTGGAGCTTACGAGGGCTGTGCAGAAACAAATGCCCACAAACCTCAATGAACTGAAACAATGTAAAGAAGAGTGGACTAAAACTCGTCCACAACCATTTCAGACATTAAAGGTGATATATGATAAAAACTACTTCAACATCTTGCTATGAAACGATTCCACAAGCTGCAAAATGCTGTGGTGGCTTAATTTTGGATTTTTCCACATTAGCTGTGTTTCTGTTTAATCAACGGTGACGGGGTGGAATCTGTTCTTGATTAAAAAAAGAAAACTTTCAGAACCTGGTTAAGACCATTTTATTTTTAATCAATTTATTATTCGTATCTAACGAGCTTCATGCCACCAAAACGTTTAGCTTCGTCACACGTGGGCACCCATTACACGTCTCTCTTGTGGGGTGGGTCCTCGTGACTCAATGAGACTACCTGTATAAACAAAAGGTTAAAACAACAATAATAAAAATCTGAACAGAACAGATCGCAGATAGCAATCAATGACTTCCTCGTAGGCTACTGTATTTATTTATGTATTTATTTTACCAGCCGTCTTACTGGCACTGCTCATCAAAAACATTCACTGTACGTATTTGTGTGTTACCGGTACGCATTTAATTTAAGGTTAAACTAATCTTTCTGTGCAAATATCTCATGTTACAACGTGGACACACATGGCTTATATTGTATATGTACTTTTTTTTTTTTTATTCAGCAGGTGTGCTCAATAGTCTGGAAATTACGGTAAGTATCATTGACCTTTCATTGGCTGGCACAAAGTCTAAGTATATAAGGGTATATTTGTTTAAACAAAAGTTTTATTTAAATTCTAAAACAGTCATTTAACTGGTTCTTCCAGGATCACATCCAAGATAAAGTGCAGTTTGTATCAAAATCTGCAAACTGGGAACTAAACAGCTCCAACACCTCATGCCTGGTTGAAGAGTGAACCCACCAGGCTTGTTTGAGCTGAGCCGGGACAACATCTTTTATTATTTAAGTCACACGCTCTATAAAAAAAAGAGCCTCACGTGACATCATGAGGCAGTTTCGCCCACGATGTGACATAATCATCCCAGTTGAGTTGGGTCCAGAGGTGTGCTCCTGTCAATAACACATTTTTGAAGTTACAGATTAACAAAGAGGAGCGGACTGTTTCACGTTAGTTTGATAATACCAAATAAGGGTTTCAACAACACGTGTAAATAGTTTGTTGACAAATGTCACCCAGCAGAAGTGTTTTTAATCAGATTTTATGTTTGACCAGAAAACATGCATGTTTGGTTAACTGGTAACTAATTGTCCCTTAGCTGTGAGTGAGTGTGAACGGTTGTCTCCACGTGTCCCACCTCATTTTTACTCCACGTCACAATCTCAACTCGAGCGGCTTCTGCTCGTCCCTGGTTTCGACAAACCATGTGAACAGTTCCCCCTGCAGAACCAGATCAGAAACTCGTCAGTGGAATAACTCGGCAAACTGAGAAGAAACAACAACTGGCAGCTGGTGTCGTTTTCTCAAAATGACTCCTGCTGGTCTTGTGATTCAAGTATAACAAAAGCCACATCATGGCCACCGCTGCTGACCAAAAGTCATCGCCAAAATGCTGCACAACTAAAATCCCCCTCACACCCACATCACATGCTTCAGATCATTCTTGTCATACTTTTGGTGCCGGCATGCTGGGGTCATTTATGGACTAAGGAGAAAATGTATATAACATATTTATTCAAACCCTCACCCACCTCTCATGGCGATCTCCTGGGCTGCAGATTTCCCTATCCCACTGTTGGCTCCCGTAATGATGAAGGACCTTCCACTCAAGTTTACATCTAGGTCAGCAGGAGCAAAACGCTTCGCTGCAGCTTCATAGCCACTTCTGTTAGGATTTTTAAAAAAAAGAACGGTCATTTACACTTTTATGAGCAGACGAGGAGAAAAGAAGGGACAGAGGAGGAGATGCAGGTTAAACAAGGGAGGAATATCAAAACAGACACAAATGCATTGCGTCACAACTTAAAATAGATATTTTGCATATTACAAAATGTTTGCAACGTACATTTCAGCATCAGTGTTAAAGTTCTAATTAGTTACGTTTAATTGATTTTATCAAACCTGTTCCTACAGCTGAGAATAAATAAATTAAAGGAAGAATGAGTATCTAAACATTATGGTCTTTTACTGTGGGTTGTAAAATCTGGCTTTGAAAATGTACTTGAAAAAAACAAACGTAATCGTTCAACTTGAAAATATTGCACTTCTAATGTGCAAATGTATCTGTATGATGGAGCCCCAATGCTTTAAGCTAAAACACATCACTGTTTACTGCTACATTTGTTGTTTACCTGGTCTAATTACATCACCGCCACAGTGACGTAACTTTACATTGTTAACTTGGTATTCACAAAACACGTTGCGTAAATGTTGAGTAAGTAATAAAAACACGCCGTTTGACCACTAAACCCTGAAAAACAACATGTCTCCACTTACTTTGTGTACTCCTGGAGTCCCTTCACGAACCAAACCGCGTTCCTGTAAATGGACATTTTCTCTGACGTGCAGCTGCCGTGGGTCAAACAGAAACAGGACGGTGGATTTACGAGCGGAATCGCTGGTGTATGTTTTAAGACCAGAACGGGCGAGGAGTCACGTGGTCTGCAACCGGAAGTGTATTTTATAACGAAATATTTACAGCACCCCTGGCGGATATTTCATCGCATCATTGTTAGTGTTGAGGATTAAAAGTATTTAATCTCTCGGATGGATGAATTGTTTCAGCCTGTTCAACAAACCATAAACACACAAACATGAACACGTCATGTATGAACACTCAAATATAAAGATTCGCGGCTGTTTGTCAGTTGTCAGGATGGCCGAGTGGTCTAAGGCGCCAGACTCAAGGTGAATCCTTCCCGGATCGACGGGGCTTCTGGTCTCCGAATGGAGGCGTGGGTTCGAATCCCACTTCTGACAATACTTTTTGAATCTTTCAATTTCACTTTTATAAATTTTGTGCACCAAATAAAACAACTTCCTTGAACCGTGAATCGACTCATCAGGTTGTGCGCGGACATATTTTTACACGAACGTTTTCTTACTGGTTGAACGTTACATATCATTATCGCGTTTTCAAGACTTATGAACTTTCCCTGTGCTACTTATTTTTAGAACTATTCAGGTAATCCACGCCGTGATTACAAACTACTGAAAACTCATATATTTCATATATTAGCTGGTAAAACTACTAATGTCGAGAGACCAGGCGGAGTTGTCAGGATGGCCGAGCGGTCTAAGGCGCCAGACTCAAGGTTAAACCTTCCCCATACTCGGGTATTCTGGTCTCCCATGGAGGCGTGGGTTCGAATCCCACTTCTGACAGCAACATTTTGCGGAAATGACAAGCATGAAAGCACTTTTTATATAAAGAACACTGCATGTTTATTTTTTTTCAAGACGGACTTATTCAGGTAAAAACTTGAATGGCCATAAAAATTCACAATCAGCATATGAACAGTGACAGAGCTAGACTTTTATACTAGGGGTGGCCAAGGCTTGTTCAGGGTGGCACAAACAAAAAAGAAAACTATTATACATTACATTTTTTTGATGGCACAGTCGCATTTTAATTCGATGTCTTAAAAAAAAAAAACAACCTCAAAAATCACAAGGTGAACGTTGAGCCTTGTTAGAACGATCAATGTTTCAGTTTGTCCACCAGATGTCCCCACGTGTCTGTTAAATTGTTCTTAACTCAGAACATTGCAAACAGTTGTGGCTTTATATAACAATTCAGTGATTTGTAAATTACAGCTTTCTTCATCACTGATAGGTTCTCTCATCCCCATCACAACTGCTTGACAGACCTCAACTCTGCATTACTCGTTTACTCTAATCATTCATTTTCAATGGTGCATGAAGTGACCTGTCAGTTACCTGGGGTGGCAGGTGGGGTGGCCAACAGGTTCCAGGGGAGCCACCCTCATTGCTCCACCTCTGTTTGTGAGTAAAACACATGGTCATGCTGTAAAGTGTCTTCCTTGTCTCAACTTTACTGTATTGTAGTGGTTTTAGAGCCTCAGTGTGCAACTTTCCAATTTGTTCCGGGAGAAAACCCAAATTCTGGAGATGCTTTGAGCATCACGTGAAGCCAACATTTTTATTTTCCCTGCAGAATGAGCCTCACCTTGACTTCCACAAGTCTTGTTGCGATCATCCAACATCTGCACTGCCAGAGGTTTCTAAAAAGTTTGTGCAGCCTGATTTCCTCAGCCATGGTTGTTTCAGCGTAAAGACCAAACATGATCTTGTTTTTGTTGCTTTGGTGATGTAACGAGAGTACAGAACTTTAAAGATGGGCATGAATGGAAAAAATGTACAAAGTACCAATTTTAGTCACTAGAAGACAGTGTTTTACAAGAAGTGATAGCATGAAGGAGATTTAACAGGTGGTCTAAGACTTGCTGGGTCTAAAATCACATCTTACAGATCATAAAAATCAATCAAAATATTTTTTACTTTTCAAAAACCACATCTTTATAAAACATAATTTAATATAAATTGTTTGAGATCTAGATCAATGTTTAGACACATGTTTCCCAATTTAGTTTCATGTTTCGATTTTAGAGATTGTGGAGTTTTGTGTGAAATTGTTTTCCCATGTAACATAAAATAAAAATAAATTATTTGTATGTTTTACATCAACAAGACAGCAGGGACGAACATATCGCGAAGGACCAGCAGTAACCGATGGTGAGGATGAGTCAGGGATCGATGTTGGAAGAACTGGAGAGTGCGACTGAATAAACTTAGAATTCAATGAAATTCAGACTAACCACAACTCAAAATATCTAATAACAGTGAACAAATAACAAGATTTATGTTGTAAACATGGAAACCACAGAAACCAAACAACAAAGAAACTCCAGTAATAAAATGATTTATTGCCTCTTTTTGAATCAAATGATCTGTAAAGTGAACCGTGTGGACTCGGTACAGATGTTCCTGTGCGACCCGAAAAGGAAGACGCAGGTAAAGATGATGG